CTTCTTTCCAAGCAGTAGCCTACCTCTCAAAACAATTAGACAACACAATACATGGCTGGCCTCTCTGCCTTTGAGCACTTGCCTCAGCAGACACACTAAAGCAAGAGGCCAAAAAGTTCACTTTAAAACAATCACAGTCCACTCATCCCATCATCTTCATGACCTTATTTCTCACAGAACACTTCCTATCTTAATGACTCCTTCTTACCTAAAACAAGTTCATTTAATACTTATACAGGACCCTACAGTCATCATCTCCAAAGCTGATAACAAAATCTTTATGGCAATTAGCTACATGGCTACCAATATATCTGTCACTCTTTGTTTCCCACACAGTCAGCTTCACACAAACATGAGACATAACTATAACTGTGATAACTTAGACCCCAGAATAAAATCCAAGGAAGCAAGAGACTGAAATTTGGGGAGCAAAGGCTTTATTTCCAGGCCTGGTGGCACAGTCTCTCCAGGATTGACCCAAAGACTGCGTGCCCCAGAGACTAAAGAAGGGGTTTTTTAAAGCTGGAGAAGGGGTGGGGGGAGACAAAAGAAACCCGCAGAGCTGTTAAGCTGTGACCCAAATCTGGAAACTGTAAAGCTGTCCACTTAGTTCTGACAACATCGGGAGCCTTTGGTGCCTTTCAAGTTACTCCCATCCTGCAGATAAGCATTATCTTGGAATAGCACATCTGCAATAGCATTTGGAGAAGAAAGTAGAAAGTTAATTATCTCAGGACAGCTCATTAGCACTAACATGTGAGAAGGGGTCGAAAGTTACAAGGAACTGAAACTTAAGTTTTTACAAGGATTTGAAACTTAACCTTTTTGATGCATACAGAACAAAAGGAGAGCATTGGTTGGGGTTAAGCCATAACATTCTTCCTGTAATTTCTTTGAAGTTAAGCATTTCTTAAGAACAGCGCAATTAGCACATTTTATAAGAGGCACATTTTATGACAGACCACCACCAGGTCAAGAAGGGGTTACCAGAAACTGTAACCTAAGGTCTTTATGGCTTTTCAGGAAATTGAAACTTAAGTTAGATAGATAGGTAGAGGGAACGGGGAAGGGGAGGCAGTACGGCACATTACAGAACAGAAATACGGCGAGATTACTTTTTTTTTTCTTCTGGGGAGGGGGAACAAGGTCAGGTAAGGGTTATGCTAACAAGCAAGTCTCCCTGCATACCAGCAAGTTACTTCAAACAAGTTTAAATTAGAAAAATATCCTGGTTTCCTCAGCAGAGAACAGAGAGCACCACATCTGTTATTTGTAGAGGGCAACATTGGTTAACATATCAATTAGGTAAGATTTTGCAATTCTTTACAGAGGAGAGCATTACTTAACATATCAATTAGGTCACCCAGAGGGAGAAGGAAAACATATATATGATATAGCCATGTTACAGGTAATTTGCTATAATACAAATATAATGAAGCTATTTTCTTAGAGTACAACAATAACAACTAACAAAAGATATCACTTTAGATCACGATTATCAAAAATACCTCCTTCCACAATAATCTTTATGCAAAACATGGGGATATGCCTTTTATGACGCAGTGGGTCCCTCCTCAGAAAGAGAAAAAAGATTCTTCATGTTTCACTCAACATCCATTAGGGCCCCAATCCTAAGTAGTCCTGCTGACATTGTCTCTCTCCCCAACATGCCTAGACTCACCACACTACAGCTCTTTATTTCTTCTCTCCTTAATCAAACATTCAAGGTGTTTTCCAGCAACGTTGATATCACTGACAAGGTTTTCCCATCTGCTCTTCTCTGAGTGGCTAGACCCCCTATCTCCTCCCCTTGACAGGACCTCTCATATTATTCATCATATTTTTACTTATAGCTCCCTAACTTTTCAAACTTTTTTTCAAGATTTCTTCAATTCAGGATATGGGCCTTCACTACCAGAGAGCTCTTTGTCCTGGTTGAGACCCCTGGCACCAGCTTCTACATGGGCCTAACTCCTCATTCTGACAACTTCAACAGCCCCCACCACAATGCCCCTCACCAGCAGGAAGCAGTCTAAAACAATGGCCATCTCTTCACCCATGAAACAAAAAGACGGGAATGATGGGGTCTTCCATCCTGGGGCTTAGCTATCTCTAACATGACATTCATCCAAGATGGCACCAGGCCCCAAGAAACAACTTAGCTCTCCAAAAATTCTTTCTCTAGTTCCAGAAATAAACCTCCCACTCCCTTTTCATGCATGTGCCAAGCCCTCTCTGACTCCACAACCACCCAAGTGCTCACTCCATAAAAGTTCCCCCAGTTTTGAGAGTCTTTGCAGTCTCCAGTAGCCCTCCTGTGCCTGCAGTGAAAGCTTTTGTTTATCTCTCTCTCTCTTTCTCTCTCTCTCTCTCTGTCTCTCAACTGCACCAAAAAAATCTAACATAAGTCAGAATTTTAAAAGGCCTCACCAGATATTAAATAAGAGAAGGTGCATACCTGTAATCCCAACACTCTTGGAAGCTGAGGCTGGAAAATTGCAAGTTCAAGCCCAGCTTAGTGAGATTGTGTCTCAAAATTTAAACATAAAGAATAAAAAAAAAGAGCTGAGGATGTGCTCACTATGAAGGCCCTGGGATCAACCACTAATACCTCAAGAGAAAACAAAACAAAACATGTTACAAGACACAGAATCTCATGTAGATTCAAAAAAATTCTGAGAGGTCCTAAATCAATTACAAGAGCTTGAAGCTGGAGAGGGGGAAGTTAATCAGTTAACAGCTACTGGGAAAGAACCAAAGTGACTGCTTATGTTAGACTTAAATCCCTTCATTGCTGAACACAAGGACCAGCAAGCCCCATTTACATACAGACTTTGTAGACTAAAGCTAGCCAATCCAGAAGGCACAAATTCTTCTCCTCATGGGTTGCCCTCCTACACCAAAGTTTTTCCCTCTGTCTTCTTAGCCTGCCCCTCTTAGTCAGAGCAATACAGTTTCAAAGTAAATCATTTAGGATTTCTTTTCTCAAAGTTTATTGTTTCTGTAGACCTGTTTACAACCCCTAACTAGCCCTGTTGCTGGTGGTTTCAGGAACTTGTCACCTATAAGGGCTCAATAAACTCCTTTATCTCAGAGACTTTTCCATTCTCAAGAGTTTAGGCTCAGCAAAAGCTAGGTTACCACATTTAAATAACAACAGCTTAATAAATTCTATTGCCTTATTTTATTTTTCTTCAGAGGTGGGAACGGAACCCAGGGTTTCCTGCATGCTAGAGAGGTTCTCTGCCTCTGAGCTATATCCCCATTGTTGGCCAGTGTTATCAGTGAAATAAGAAATCTCTGTCGCTTCAATTTGCATTTCAATTGCAACTTGCACAAAAGTGAATATTGAAAAAAAAGTATGGGTTTCTCATTGATAGGTTGTCTGTGTTTCCAAATTTTCTAATTGTTTAAAAATTGAACCAGGTATGTGGCACACACACACCTGAGGAGGCTGAGGCAGAAAGATCACTGCAAGTTTGAGGCCAGCCTGGGCTACATAGAGAGTTCAAGACCAGTGTATACTACATAGCAACACCCAGTCTAAAAAAATTGATTTGTAGACATCCTTTATGTGTTATAAGTCTTGCAAAAATCCTTTCCCAGTCTGCTTCTGCATTTACCAACCAAAAGTCTAAATGTTTGATTTTGACTTAATTTATTCTCTGTGTAAAAGGAACACTTTTAACTTGCAGAAGCATTGGCTTAGGTCGGACATGCCCAAATTGAATGCTTTATTTCATCACAACTGTTCATTTCCTGCTGAAGTTGATAAATAATCATGAACTTTTAATGACCCTTGTGGACCAAATAGTGACTAGAGACTTTCCTGACAGAAAAACAATAGGATTCCTGTTAGCTAGTTATGTGCAGACTTGTGAACTCAATTTACCCTACCTGGAATGCTGACTTTTGCGGTTTAATTAGCATAGCCTCCCCTAATACTTACAAAGCCCTTGACCTTCCCTTCCTTTGTTATGTTCCCTTTCCTTGCTTAGTAGCTCTGTGTTATATTCTGACAGTCAGTAACATAACCTCTCAGGGCCTCCGGTGTAAAATTGTGGAATAATAGAACTTACCTCATGAGGTTATTGTGAAAATTAAATGAGTAAACACATAAAGTGCTTGGAACAAGCGGCTGATACACAGTAAGCAGTCAATACATTTTAGTTATTTGTATTGTTGTTACTATGTCAAATTTATTTATGTTTTTCCTTGTGGCTCTTGCTTTTCAGTGTTAAGAAATACTTCTCCAAATGATAGGTCTTATTATAAATTTTTCTCCTCTTTCCTTTCAGGCACCTTGGAAACCCTTTTAAAAATTGACTGTAGCTGAATGACTTGCTTTGATGAAGGAAATGTGAGCAAAACTAGCGATGTCACTTATGATCCAGGGATCCAATCACACATTCATTCATCCAATTTTTTTCCTGCCTTGATAACTATGAAAGAATACTCTATGATGGAGCTTCCAGCCTCTGACATTCCTGAGTGATTACTTGCAAAGCTCTGCAGAGGCCTCTATTAATCATGAGAAAGAAACTTTATTTCCCTTTTCTGCTCTGATGTTTAATATTCTCTTGCTTTGTGTTGTGTGTGTGTGGTGCTGGAGTTTGAACCCAGAGCCTTGCACATGCTAGACAAGTGCTCTAATTCCTATACATTTTTTATAATAGTCTTAGAGGTTTATTTTTCATATTTAAGTCTTTAATTTTGGGAGGAATATGTTTACGTATGGTGCACTAAAACCTTTTAAAATGTCTAATTGGCTTTTGTTAGCAGTTATAGAATCAAACATTTATTCTGAAAATTGAATATTCTGATCAGCCTAAGTGGGAGAGTTATCTTTACAGGCAGAAAAGGGTGAAATAAGCAGAAATAAAGAACCAAAAGTAGGTTGGTCTTTTCAAAGTCACTTTTCTTATAGGGTTAGGCAGCAGGCACTTCCTTTTTGTTAGTCAGCTTTTAGCTGCTGTGACAAAAGACCTGAGAAAATCAACTTGGAGGAGGAAAGCTTTATTTTGGTTCATAGTTTCTGACATGTCAGTCCATGTTCACTTGGCTCCATTGCTTCTGGGCCTACGGTGAGGCAAAAAGCAGCCCACCTCATGGTGTACAGGAAGCAGAGAGAGAAAGAGAGAAAGAGAGAGAGAGAGAGAGAGAGAGAGAGAGAGAGAGAGAGAGAGAGAGAGAGAGAGAGAGAGAGAGAGAGAGAGAGAGAGAGAGATATTAAATGGCCTCTAAACAGGGACCAAAATGTACCCTTCAAAGATAACCTTCCAGTGACCTACTAGCTCCCACTAGACTACACCTTTTGAGGTTTCTACCACCTCCCAATAGCACCACCAGCTGGAGACTAAGCCTTCATCTGTGCATGAGCTTTTGAGGAACATTCTAGATCCAAACTGTAATACTTATGCCAAGTCAGGTAAACTGAGTCTCTTTTGACTGGCTGCTCTGAAACTGCTGTTTTTTGTACAATTGTCCATTTATGAAGTTCACTTTGACTACATGGCACTTAGCAACAGTGACTCCATTCTGGTTGAATCTGTTCTGTTCTATGGGGTCTAGTGCGGGAGCTTAATCCAAAACAATGGATTGCCTCACATGAATTCTGTTCAACAGAACAGTGCAATGAAGGTATCCAGTTTCTCTCTCTCTCTCCCTCCCTCCCTCCCTCCCTCCCTCCCTTCCTCCTCCATCCCTAAGAACAGCTATCTATACTAACTGACTTACTTTTTCCCTGTGATTTGTGAGGCCAACCTTTCATATACCTGTATTTGTATGGGTCATTTGTATGGGTCATTAGTTCCTGTATTTGTATGGGTCATTTGTTTTTACTACTATGGCACCATTATATTATTTGGTGTTATGTACCATGCCTTTATAATTTGTATCACTATCTGGTAAGCCAGGGCACTGTGGTCTTCAGACATGAAGAGTGGGGAATGAGGAATAAGGGGAGTTCCGTGCATCTCAGCCAAAACCCACCCTTAGAGGGTACAATGTCCAGAGTTCCTGGCTCCATCCACACTTCAGAATGTGCCTATCAATTTCCTTGAAGATGCTTAGAGTGGGTGAGAGATAAGTAATAGATTTGGGAGCTATTATCAAATTAATTGACAGAACTTGACAAGTGCTTGCATTACTGCTGGGGTTGTATAGAGAGATGAATTCATCTAGGACAGCCCTCATATTTATGGCCCAGTTAATCAATCCTGCAAGGATATCTGCAAAAAATGTACAAAATGAACCTTCTCAGCTATAAAAATGTCCTCATAATGCCTTAGGAGAATTTCTTGAGCAGGTAATACAACCTATAAAAATATCCAGTCATAGAAAAGCAAGGTACAATTATGAGTTACATTATTCTAATTACAACATTCATCACAAATTGCATTTTTAAGACTGCTACTACCTGACAGCGCATTAAAATATTGCTTTTTCCTCAGTTCTGCAAAAATTATATATATATATATATATATATATATATATATTACATTTTAATCATAGCAAAGTGTCGAGAGACCAGGAATTTATCTTGTGCAGTAAATTTTAAGACAGACTGCCCATTTTTGCAATCAGACCCAGTAGTTTTTGTGACATCGGGGTACATTCTTCCAATACTGCTGACATTGGAGAACAAGTCAGGTCCCTGTTCTTTGGCCTCCCTCCCACATCTTGATCAACAAACTCTAGGCAAGGCAGGATTACAACTCAGCATGCAGAAGCAGCAGGATGAGGAGGGTAGGCAGCAGCAACACCAGAGATTCAGGGCCTTTTATCATTCCTGCAAAGGGAGGAAGAGAAAGAAAAGTTTCCAGAGAGAGTTTGAATGACATGGGACTCCCAAATGTTTAAAGCTTCACCTTTAGGCCAAAATCCAAAGGAGAACAGTTTGCTATATCTGGGGCCCACTATACCTGTTGTTTACTTCCCCAGGATTCCCAGAATCCTCAAAAATATTAGAGAGAGACTTGAAGACACATTCTTTTGATTCTTGAATTGAAGGTCGCTTTAAGTACACTGAGCTAATGGGGCTCTCAGCCTCATCCCCAGTCACTGTCCAAGCCTCTGCTTCAGCCACTGGGCCAGGATGAGAAAGGTTTTCCCCATCTGAGGCCTGCAGCTCTCTTGGCCATTGTGAGGGCCCCCCATGCTTGTACTGCTTGACTCAGCAAGAAATTTCTGGATCTGAACCTTTCATTTTGCATCAACATACACACGCCTTTCTTCACTAGCTGGTGTTAACTGCAGCTGGTTTCCTGACCTGGGTTTTCCACCTGCCTAAACCTGAACATCCAACATTTGGCCTGCATGGTGGGCAGTTCTTCCTCTGCTGGACTGTCTATCTGTTTACCTTGTTTTCATAAGGTTGGATCCAATTTCACAATTCATCTATATAAAAATCTCAGAGTCTCCTTGTAATAAATCTGTGCTTCCATTTCTACCTCCAAAGATTTCTCCTACCAGAACTCCTTCAGAGCATAAGAACTAATTTGGTCTAAATTTGCTGGATACTCTGGAGTTTAAATCTACTTTTAATTTGGACCCCTGGCCTCTCAATAAAACATAATTTTCTGAAACAACATGTGTCAGAGGCCTGATTTAAGGCAGACATTAAGCCAGGCCCTGAGTGCAGATGAATAGGGAGACAAAGTACCCACACTGTAAGTAAATGATTATAATGTAAATATGATGAGATGAAACAGCTGAGATGTGAACAAGGTTTTCCATGCGGAAAAAACAAAGCTAGGACTTGTTGAGCAATGTCTATGAGCCAGTCACTGAGTCCTGAATATCTGTTTTTATTCTCACAGCAGTATTAATGAAATATCTGTGATCGTGTCCCTGTGTGTCAAATGAAAAATTGAGACACTGATTGCTCAGGTAACTTGCCCAAAGTCACAAAGCTAGTGATGAGCCAGATTACCACTGAGGTAGTCTGGCTCCAATTCTATAGCAGAGAGCATTGTACAATGTTTAATTTTGCTAGATGCATCAGGGAAGGCTTGCCATGGGAACTAAGTCTTGAAAGATAATTACTATACTGAAATTGATTGTTCCTTAGCATGCAGGAAGTATGATATATGGTCAAAAGAGGAGGTCTTAGGCTACAAGAAATCCTAGGTCTAAAGGCACAGAGATTCAAAAGCCAGCATGGCTTGGAAACAGATGGGTAAAGTGCTCTTAATGGCACTTCTCACTCATCACGTGGCTGGGAGAGGTAATATCCTTTCCTGATGCGTCCCTCTCCATTTTCAGTCATTAAGCACCTTCACTGAGATTTGTGTTCTCTGGCTTACCAGTTGTGTTGTTACCAGTTCATCATTCTGTGTACCCTTTTCCCTGTTCATGTGTTTCACCATGTGGCCCACTCGTATGGATTCAGCTTGAGCCTCAGCAGCTATCTTCAGTAGTAACTGCCATGATTGCCCCAGAATAAACTTATTTGGTTTTTCCTGCCTCGTTTCCCAGTAAACTATAAATAGGCAAAGCCATTAGACTGCTATGTGGAGCTTTACACCAAGACCCTGGCGCCAAGAATGTGCTTTTTTCATATTCGCTTAAGATAAACTGGGTATATTTCAACTAGGATGAAGTCACTTTTGTTCTAACCCATATTTGCATCTCTCTTGCTGACTGAAAGTTCAGGGATCCAACTGGTTTTGCTGTAGCACAGACTCCCACTTCCTTCACTATGTCCCAGGAAATTGCACTGCCTACAATTCTGCACCTGTTGTGACCCTTTCTTAGTCTTATGGCACCTTGGGTCCAGTCTTCACATACTAGGACGTGATTCTCCTGAAACACCAAGAACATAAAGTATTTCAATTCATTGACTCTTTGCTCCGATGTTATTCACCTGTTATTCTGTCCAGTCAGTCACTTCCATGGGAACGTCATTGACCCTACTCACAGCCGATATATCCATACTAGACATCTCGGGTACCACCCCGTTTCTAACCACATCCCCAGTCTGTCCAGCTCTTCCTCCTAGAACATTTCATAGGCAGCCCAGTCCAGGCCTTCCTCCATCACCATGCCACCTGCTTGTTTCAGGCACCCTCCTCTCTTGCCCATGTTACTACAGCAGCCAAACCCATCTTCCAGAACAAGGTCGCCAACTCCCCTGACCTTTGTCCCTGCCATACTGGTAGTCTCCGTGGCTCCTTTCACCTGGTGCCCACGAGATCTTTCTGACCTTTCTGTATAGCAGACTTTGGAACGGGGCAGAATAGAAGTGGCCTTTGTCTCTGAGCCTTGGGCTCTGCTCTCTGTTTTAGGACAGTGGTCCTTTTTTTTTAGGAATGTTACTCTTTGGTAGTGGACTGGAGGCCCATTGTTTTCTGCCTTTGGTGCTTCTGGTAGGGAGAACCCCCATTTTGTATTTTGTGCAACACTTCAGTGCAGACCCAGACTCACCTGATCTGTTGGAAAGATAGAAGCAATTATAGTTACTCTTTTGTCTTCGAGGGTCTTTAAGGGTAATTGTGTTGCCTTTTTTAGTAGTTTCTATTGAGGCAACATTATATACCTCGTATCCTGGGATTAACACTTCCTCTTCATCCTCAAAGAAAGAGATTTTTATCGGAACACCCAAACAGGTATTGATTTTGAACAGTGTTCCACCTTCTTTCAAAAAATTGTTAGCTGCTTCCTTATTCAAAGATGATGACGTAAATTGTCCAAATCGTACACTACCCTTTCCACTGTAATAAAATTTGGTACTGGTGCCTGTATAAACTTTGTAACAATTCTGATCCTTGAGAAGCTGAAGTGCTCTTGTCAGGTAATAGTGGAAGGCCTTGTACCAAAAGTTATCAGAATTTTGACGGAATTCTCTCACAGCTTTGTTAAAATCTGTTGCAATATCGCCTGTGTAGGTCACTAGCGCTATTCCATGGAAATCATTGAAATTTTTTGGATAAGTTACTTTATTCTTTATTTTCTCCCAATATTTCTCTGCTTTTGTCCACTCAGACTTTAAGTTCTTGTTTATGTTCAGCTCTTCTTTTAAGAGTTGAGGAGCTTTTTTCTCCATTTCTTGGATACAGCCCTCATACTGATCATCAAATGCATCATAAGCCATGTCCAGTTTGCTCTCTGTCAGGGCAGTTACCTGTGGAGAAGGAAGAGCCGTTTGACTTATTTGCAGGGAAACCAACCTATGCTGGATGCTGCCAGAGCCCTTAGCACTGGCTTCTTGCCTGGTATGAGATTTTACATATCCCAATCACAGGGTTCATGACTGACACATCATATGAATACAATCTTATTATACTGCAAGCACCATAAAAAGAGAATTTCAGCTTTGGACTCTGTTTTGCTTACTGGCGCTATTCTTTAAATTAATTTTCAGATTCGTGCCTCCCAACTGGCTTTAGCCACAGACTCAACTCTGGGAACTGTATTGTCTCAAAAATATGAGGGAAAAGAAGAGCAAAATCAGCAGATGTGGACTGAGAATAGGTGTTAGATATTACCTGCTGTGTGAGCCACCAATTTAGCATGAAGATGTGAATTGCTATGTATAGAAGTGATGTCATCTTCAAGTTCAAAAATAACTGCAAATGAACATAAGATAATACAAATGAAGCATGAACATTAGTTTCATTGTGTGTTGATGCATCATTGCTGTGTTAATGAATCCTCAGAAGAGATTATGCAGTTCTTGTGAAGGTTAGTTCCTGCATACACTTAGCAATTTGTTACAATGAAGAGCAGACCTGATGCCTGAATCTTTCTGGCTTCCTCTTTCATCACATGACCCTTTCTGCTCATGACACATGGCTTCTCTGCCACCATGTAAATCAGCCAGGGGACACTTCACCAGCTGTGGATGCCGTGATGTTTAGTTTTCCAGCCATTGGAATCTGAATAAACATCTTTTCCTCATAATGTACTCAGTTTCAGGTATTTTACTATAATAGTAGAAAATAGCCTAAAAAAATCAGCTTGCCTCATTAATTATTGTGTTTAATGAAAACTTATTTATGGTAAGTTTTTTCACTTTTTAATGGTTACACAGATTAATGGGATTCATACATGCACATAACATGCATTGATCATATTTCTCCCATCATTTCCCTTACCCTCCCCTTCCTCCTAGCTTCACATTTTCGGGGTGTGGGGCTCAACTTGTATATTTTATTCATATCCATCCCTCCTGTGACTCTCCCTTTTACCTCATTTTTAACTTCTTATAGATAGAATATGCACTTAGCAAAGTAAATAGAAGAATGAGGTGTGACCGTTGCCCTTTGGGTTGGTACCTGCTTTCTTTTTTCCTTCCCACTTGCTGTTCTTAGCAAATTATGAAAATTCTCTTCTCCAGCCCACCATACAACTTTCCACATAATGTTGGCTTAGTCTTCATAAGATAATGTTCTACCAAGACCTTGAGAATGATAGAAAGGGGCTGTGAAGCATGACCAACTGCTCTTGGTAAGAGCCTTTCCTATTACACTGGGCTCCTCTTTATCTTGGGTCCTCATTCTCTGAGCTTTTAAAGGATTCTGGAAATGAAAGTCTCCAGTGGAGACTGTCCCACCCTCTCTTTATTCTAAATAACCAAAGAATTATTTGTTATCATAAACTAATTATGATCAACTCTTTAAGAGTTGACCTCAGAGTCGCCTTTGTTTACATAAAATAACCACTCAATGATATAAAAGAAACTTACTTCAGCATTATGTGAATTGAGTGAAATGTATCTGGAATGAATTTCTTGTAGAAAAAAAGATTGTACTAGAGAGATTAGTGTTTACTTTGTACACAGGAGGCAGAACATTTGAATAATTGCACCTCAGAAAGAGGAATGAAAGGAATGATAAGAATTCTAGATATTGAAAAGATATTGGATTTGATGTCAAATTGTGAGCTTACTGGACAGGAGCTTGGACTGAAAGGCAAGTTAGTATGCATGGAGGTGTAGGAGATTATAATTATATGTATATCTCCATTTTGAACATAAATTTAACTTCCGCATGCTAGAAACAGTGCAATTTCCTGGTTCTTTAATGTAGCTGATGTGGACAACTGCCTTATTTCAACACCTGGTGGCCTCTTCTTTACCGAACAGTTAGATATAACCTATTCGACTGGCCACACTGACCCACACACTCTACAGGGGCTTTGTAGATATGCCGCCATAATCACTTTTCAGTCAAGCCATGACCTCCTGGACCTTGTGCCTGGTCGCTTTAAACAACTTAAATTCTCCTCAAGAAACTTTTGTGGATAATGCTCTGAGCCAACAAAGGCACTGGCCTAAGAGTGCTTTTCACTTCTCTGTCTCTCTCCCTGCACTTCTTGGCTCCTTGTGTGGCTCCTAGGTGTGTTGTGTACTACCCAGGACATTTCATTCTTGATCATTGAAAGAGCGTGCTCCCTTTTAAAAATCTTAAATTAAAACAAATGGGAGGCTAGGATTGATGTGGCCTAGAGTTGGTTAGGAAGTTGGAAACAAGCATATTCTTGTTCTGCCCTGCAAATCTAGACTTGACTAACTGTAGAAAGGGAAACGACTTTTGACACAGGGGATCTTGCTGGACACAGGTACTGGCAATGCTGCTCAAAGACTTAAGGAGTAAATTGTAAGGTCTTGGATTAAGTTTTTAAGTTTTTAGGGAAATAGATAGATAGATAGATACATTGCATGTTCTGCTTCTCTTTTCCAAATTTGATTCCATCTCCCTATTAAAATATTCCTGCCCAGAATTTCCATTGCCTCTTGCACATAACCTCTCACTACCACAGCAGTCTAATCCAGGTATTTTTCCTCCCAGCCCCATTCTATTACCACTCTGTCCTCAGGGAATATTCCTAATTTCTTCACCCTCAGACACCCTTACCCTTCAGAGTGGTCAGGTACCTGATCTCCAGCAGATTCTCTGTGATTTCATCCACGTCACTTTCTGAGAGCAGCATCTCAAGAGGCAATGCTGTGTGATCCTTTTATAGTGGGAAAGATGGTTTCAGTTTCAAATTTGCTGGAAACTGTTGAAACTGAAAATTGAACAGACATATAGGGCTGCTGCACCACTGGGGCAAGATAAGAAAATGGCCGAGGACATCTGGCTCCAACTCCAATGAACAAAATAAAGACTATAGCCTCAGGCATTTTACTCCTGTAGTGAAATGCAACAGGGATACTTCTTGTTAACAGAACTTTTTTGAGGGGATATTGGGGATGGAACTCATGACCTCACACTTGCCAGGCAAGGGTCAGGAGAGGTGAAGGCTTTTAGAGATCAATTTTGCATCCTCAGTCATTTCTTAGTGTTTGAGTTTTCTGGCGCAATACAGAAGCAGAAGAAAGAAGAGAATGAAAGTGGCCATTTATTTGAGGACATGGAGAAAATGAGAGCCCGCAACCCAGAGGGATTTGGCTTTCTCCTTTGGACCAGATACAGAGGGGCAGAGGATTATATGACCTCTGATTGGAAGTGGCACTGGGGCGGGCATTGATAATGTGTGAGGGACTGATTGAAATTATCTTCACGCACAAATGGGAAAGTAACAATTTGGGCTGAAGGGGAAGAAGAAGGGAATGGCTCTCAGGGCAAGCGTTCTTGCTCTGGCTTTCCGCCATGTTAGACCATCACCATAACTGTACAATAATTTATATGAGGGCAAAAACCTTTCATTCAGTATGAGTCCAACACTTGAATACATTGTGTTCATAAACCAGTTAAATCATAAGCCAAACACTGATTTTGTATGCAGTTTTCTATGGGAATTACCAGCTTCTCCTAATCCTGGATTGTTGTAATGAATCTGCTGGCTTCCTGAGTAACTGGACCAAACCATGGAAGGATGTTTTAGGTGAAAAACACCACCACACATAAGGCTACAATAAATCTAAAATCCTTGATTCTGCCACTTGTAAAAAGAGGCTCCACCAAAATAATATTTGTACCTAGCTTTTGTAAAATAGGTACAAAAAATAATTTTTGTACCTAGCTTTGTAAAAACTTTCACAGAAATAGAGCTTGGATGGGCACTAGAGTATATATATTTAAAAAAGTATACATACACTTCTAGAAAAGAAAAAAATGTATATTTTAATACTGAATTTATTGAGACATCACAAGATCAATACCAGTTACCTTTGGCCTCTGTTTACCTTTGGCCTCTGTAATTACAAGATACACTCAGAGTGGTGATGACTAGCTTCCAGATATTTATTAGTATGGTGAACTGCTGCTTGGGTAACCTTGGTCTTTGAGACTGCTACATGTGCATTTTCTTTTCTTTTTTTTTTTTTTTTTTGTCTTTTTCCTTTTTATCGGTACCAGGGATCAAACTAACAACTGCCTGCTTACAAAGCAGGCGCTTATGCCGCTGAGCTAAATCCCCAGTCCCTACACGTGCATTTTCAATTTCTTCTCTAAGGGCTGGCAGTGTAGTGAGTTCTCCATGATATACAATATCCTCTAGGGTACCCTATACGAAGGTAACACAATGTGTTTGGAGAGCAAATATGGTCAAGTCAGACATTTTGGAAACCCAACTAAACATAATGATTAATCCTATTTTCAATCTGGCTTATGATAATGAAGGAGCATAACTTTATAAAGGGAATCTTTGAGGTATAACATCATAATCCTGAGACATACTAAACAATAGACATAAACATATCAAGAATAGTTAGAATATATTGACACTATACCAAGATTATTAGGTATATGGATTTAGTAAATATATATTGGTCTTAAACATACATATATTAATAAACTTCCACAGGTAAGTGATATGAGTCTCCAATTTAAAATCATGGGCCTAGAATAGATTAAATTCATTTGTGAGTAGGTTTACATTTGGAAAGCTAACAGAAATTATGACTGATAATACTATGATGTTGAAGTAGATGGGTGAAAATCCTATGATGTTGTTATCTAAAATCAGGCAAAGCAGCACCAGGAATTTGATAATAGAAATATTTCATAGACAGCAGGAGCATTGGCAAATAAATATATGGGTAAATCATTCAGTTTTGAAATAGTTTTTATTAATAACATTTTACCCCAATAGATTTAGCCATTCTGGATGGCTGAATACTTCTTCTGACTTAGTAGTGCTTTTCATGCAATTTATAATATATTTATTATAAAAATATCTATTTTTTGCACTTCTCTTTTTCAGTGCTAAACAATAAATCCTTCGTAACTCTCTAGGGTAAATCTCAAAGACAGTCTCACACGCAAAAGGCATTGTTTAGGATGATTTGGGGAAGGCAAAATAACAAAAGTTATCAGAGGTTACATGTTTATCAAATAGGATTGTGTGCTGATGAGAAACTGTATTACCTATTTAATACATTTACAGAGTAAGTATAGATGATAACATAATTATAAAGAACTCTTGTGCTGTGGGGAAGGGGCTTTTCTGTCTTAAATAACCAAGAATATGATCAAGTTGAGTGTGCGTCTCAGTCACAGAGCACTTGCCTTAACTGTGCTAAGGCCCTGTGTTCAGGTCTCAGCTAAATAAAATTAATGTAAGACTCAAAATCTTCCCCTAAACAAACCATCCAGAATTCAGGAAAAACCTTTGACAATCTCTTATTGAGATGAAATCAATAATCCAAGAATTTTTTTGTTATTTTAGGAAACTAAATTCTAAGTCAGCGTAATATTTGCCTTTTGAGACTTAGTCCATTTTTGCTATGACAAATAAAATTACCTTTTTGTGATTTCTTTTTGAAAGAAATTTTTATCCCCATTTAGGTTTAGTTCTAAATGTTCTTTTTTTTAAATCTCTGAACAACATATCATTTTATTTTAGGGTAAAACTTCTCATTTTCTTAACAGAAACATTTCCTGAATATCTTTTATACAAACTTGTTCTTTTCTACAATATATGCGTCAACTATAACTTTTAACACAGTAATGCAATTTACCAAGACAAGAGTAAAGATAAACACAAGAATTTAGACTTACAGTACCCTGTCAAGAGGGACAGCTAGGAGACAAGCAAGACATGCACAGGAACAATGGTTTTATTTTTCACTTTTGTGGTGCTGCATGTGTATAGCATCTAAACAGTTTATGGCACTGCATTCATGGGGAGGAGTTGTAGCATGAACGTGACATTTCGTAACTCTTTTTTTTTAATGACTAAGCTGTTTTAAAGGGAAAAGTGTGAGTTGGGAGAGGAGAGTAGCTTGAAACTGATAACATGAGAAGAACTGATAAGGAGAAAGGACAACAGGTTCTGTGAATTTCAAGAGGTTACACCCATTGCCTCTATGACACGATACAGGTCAGGGTTACAGTCAAGCAGACTTGTTACAGGAAGGAGGGTCAGTAGCAGATTCGCTATTAAGTTTATGAAGGAGTAGAGGAAGAGACTCTGATGTATCGCTGAATGGAAGTCAAATCAGCCTTTCCTGGGATTAGTTAGTACCCCATAAGTAACTTCCAATTTATCGAGAAAACTAGAAAGTGGTTGCTTCCTGATTCTAGTCACACACCAGCATTTTGTAGTAGGCTGCTAGAGCTTAAGAATATACCTTTCACAATTTTTCTTTCTTGAAGATTTTTTATTGTGGCAAAATACACAAACAAAGACAGGTTTGAGGCCAGCCTGGACTACATAGTGAGTTTAAGACCAGCCCGAAGTACATTGCAAGACTCTGCCTCAAAAAACAATAAAAAAAATCATAAAATTTGTTGTAGTAACCACTGAAAAATGTATAATTTGGTGGCATGTATTTCTCAACTTTTAATAACTAGTTACTTTAAAAAATAATACAATTTTTCAATGTGGCAAGAATGAGCATATTCATTAACAGAGCCCAAATATACGTAGCCTTGTAGTAGGAGGCAAGGGCGCGGCAATGTGGCCAGCGCAGGTGGGCTTCATCCTCAACTGAGAAGACTTACTAACCACAGGTGCAGAACGAGCAGCATGGTACCAAGCCAAGCCCTGCACCTAGTACCGACCTTCTGATATGAGAACACGCTGAATCTAGTACCTGACAGAATCTCCTAGCTAAAATTCTAGTCATGGGTTAGACATAAGCACAAACAGACTCACTGGTTCATATAAATGTGCTAGCTCTCATGCTTGCCAGCTCTTTCTTTCTTTCTTTCTTTCTTTCTTTCTTCCTTCCTTCCTTCCTTCCTTCCTTCCTTTCTTTCTTCCTTTCTTTCACCAGGATTATGTTTCTGGCAGTTGAGGTAAACTGAGACTTGTTATTGTGAGGGCTGAAGAATCCCTGCCAGCACCTGTGGAGAAGATTTAAGATTGTGTTTACCTGACACACGCCTATAATCCTAGCACTCAGGAGGCTGAGGAAGGAGGAGGCTCCGAGGCCAGATTGGGATGCATAGTGAATTCAAGGCCAGCCTGAACTACATAGTGAGACTTTGTCTCAAAAAATCAAACAAACCAAAAATTGCCTTTACCCTGACTCGTGATGTATGGAGGCTGTTGACTGAGGGTCCAGTGAGGAACAGGGAAGACACCAAGCTACTGTCTAGAAATGTCCAAATTTGAACAGAAAAAAACATCAGGCTTGTCCTTGTGACTGTCTTAGCCTCAAGTGCTGCCTTTGGGACCCCTGAAACTCCTCAGAGCCCCTGAATAAATTTTGTGAGAAAGATTGTGTTTCTGCCTCTTTGCACCAAATCAAATTAGCTGATCACTACTTAGCTGTGATTTTGAAGCCAAGGGACTCAAGAACTCTTCGCACAATGAGCCAATTTGAAAATGTCATGATCTCTCACAGAAATGGCATTGAACTCTAGTTTTTTTTTTTTAACAAAATTTTTACCAGTTTTTAGAGAATTGGATTGGATTAGAACTATGATGATGAGGTACATGCCCTTTTGATGTGGGGTGTAGGCAATGGTAGTGAGTTTGAAATTTTTTCATGATACAGCATGAATACTACTAGCTGGCTATCGGGACCCTGAGAGTCAGGTCCAAGGTGTGATTCCCCTGGAAAGACAGGATCTTTAACTCCAC